ACGGCTTCCGTGATTAAACAGAGAGACTCTAGGGTCGAAGCCGTTATTTATACGATAATACTACCAGTATTGTGCCCTGTGTTATATCGTTCTGAAAGAATTAATTCATAATTCCAATAAACAAGCTGCGGAAAAAGTATCGTGAAACACTATGCCATTATAACTTTGTTCTGTTTATCTGTAAAAGTAGCTGTGAAGGTCATTCGGCACACTGCAGTGCAATGATAACCGCGGATAACACCGAAGGAAGCCGAGCTTGAAACCGCGTGATTTCGCGAGGGGGAGAATATTGTTGATCTTTTTCTCGTGTTTCCTGTGTTCGTAGGTCAGCCAGTATGGTTACACTGAGTGAGCTAGGTCAGTGGTAACATGTCTGTCTCGCGTCCGGGATGTACCTGGTTCGAATTACGCCGAGAAATAGTTATCATTACAGTTTTTCGTGATTTTCCAGAGTTTTACCGCTGCGGCAGGAAAACCGCTGGTGTGCGCTAGTCCTAGGGTTGAATATTAACGTTATTTCCGCCGCAAACAGAAACTAGATTTTAATGTGAAATGAGACCTTCTTTGCCGAGGATGCATCCATTGTTCAAAGAAGAGAGCCTTCCGTTTATCTATCTGTGACCAAAGGACGTGGCTCATCAATTACCCTTCTATCCCTTTGCTTAAGACATTCTAATCGATATCACCCTGTCAGAAAGATTTTCATTACAATATGTAATGGTTTTTACTAATTTGTTTACACTTCCTTCTATGAGAACATTTTGTATCTGATTATGTCAGTGGTCAATGTCTAGCGATGAGTACTCTGGTTCGAAACCCAGCTTGTGTTGATAAAGCTTAAAATAATGAAGGTGGGCCAAGCCCAATTCCGGCCGAAACGCCAGAGAAGGACGTTTCTCCATTTTGAAATATATCGGACCTAAAGGAACTGTACACAGAATATTGTCGTTTTATCTCGTAGTGAAAATTAAATGTCATCTAATCTGACATGAGAACAAATTCCAGCACGTGTAGATTGTAATCTTAGACCAGTTCTTGTTTGTGTATAAGATTTGAGGTTCTCATGTCAAAGTTATCGATGTTGGTCTTCTGGGTTGTAACTCCATGTGAATTCCATCGTTTCGGAGGAATCTGCCGCACCCATCTTTAGAGTTGAAGATAGTATCTGCCTACTAGTCGACAAGGCAACCCAGAAGACCCACATAGAGTTGTTATTTCTGATCTTACCATGTTTTGGGCAGTAAATAAATTGTTTTCATTGCGGGATGAACACAGATTGAGGGTTTTTGGGAACTTGGTGAGATTATTTGGACATAGAAAAGAGGGTCTGACGATGGGATATAGACATTCTTATCGTGACGAGCTTTAAAGTTGTACTCTTCGCTAGATGTTATTCGGGTGAGCAAATTAAAGAGAATAAGATGAACGGTACATGGCGAGATGAGAAATGCGTGTAAAATATTAGTCGAAATACCATTTGAAAGACGTAGACATATATGACAAGGTCATATTAAAATACATCACGAATGAGGAGGGTGTGAGATGTGGACTGGTTTCAGTTGGCAAGATCGTGGTCTAGGCAACACAGAGTTTTCCTCCGGGGGCTTCCCCGGTTTCTCCGTGGCATCCCAACAATTACTCCATTCACACACAGAAGAAGGCAATGGCAAACCACTTCTGGATCATCTGCCAAGAACGTATATGAACAGGTCCCAGTCCGAGAAAAGGATGGAAGGATCCTGTTCATATGGACCTGTCGTCAGACAGAACACTACAAATAAAAAAAACAAAACAAATAAGGGAGTAGACAATTTCTTGACCAACTCGATTTTATTGTCCATCGAAAGGGCACCATTATACTTAATACACGCGTGACGTTCCTTATAGATTCAATAGGAAATAAAAATGTTATCTTCCTAAATGGTTTACAACAGCGGCTGTATGTTGATGTAACACATTTTTGACAACCTCTGTTTACAGTTGCTAGGATACTGTCACTTATTGTTAATTCAGTACAAATGGGTTAGACTTATGGGCAAGTGGAGGACAAATGTATTGTGAATGGGTGTGTATACTGATGATTTTCCTTTTATTTCATCGGCTGGAGATGTGTCATGTGGTTTTCTGTCGATGTTCGTCTTCTGAGTTGTGACGCCGTGTAGATACGCAAGTCTACGCGACATTACAGCCCAGGAGATCAACATCGACGTCGTCACTGCCTCAGCGTGTTGGAACCTGCGTAACGTCACTTTCTAACAGATACTCGCAGATAAGCGAGAGTTTCTGCACTTAATTAACACGCTGAAGTGTTACGAGTCAGATAAAAGATAATACGATAATGCTCGTAACACATACTGGAACCACTATCACCAGGATAACGCTTCGTACAAAGCATTTTCAAAACAGACCGTTGTTGATGGACCTGTTTTTTTTCGTGTTATCATTTTAAAACTGATTTATCTCGTTTTGTTGCTTCAAAACGAACCTTTTGTGTTCCTTTAAAGAGAATTATGTCTATCTTGCATAAGTTTGTTGAAAGCATAACATAATCCACCATTATGTGCTTGGTAATTTTTGATCAGCCTTAGTTATGGGAAGTAGCCATATCTGCTGCTTATTACTATTAATACTTAAGGATTTACTAATTTCAACGCATGAAAACATTAAAAAATCTAGAAACTTTACTCTGAATAGAATTTGAACCATTGAATCGATAGCTTATAACTATCTTTGAGAGATATCTCACATTAGATAAATTA